CCCCCCCCCCCACCGAGCAGTCCGAGCCAAAGTGAAATAACTTTTCGCTTGGCTGCCAACGTACACTATAAGGTGGACCTACTGTGTAGCAAACGGAGCAATACGTGCGAATATAACGGAACTCTGGAAAGATGCCCAGTGCCGTAATCGATACGTGTAATACCGTAGATGCCACGAGCATCATGCTATAATACATACCAGTTGGATCGGCACAATGAAAGAGATTTACCATTCGATTTCTCGTACAAATTGAATAAAGAATAAAAAGTGTGACGTAATCTCGAAATTCGCAAGTGACGGTACAACGACATGATTCATTCAACGTCACACACCTTCCCGGACGAACAACCTCAGCAGTCCACTAATTCCAAAGATGGCGAACTACACACGCGACTTCTGGGTACTTTCCACGTGCGTACCTAAATGCGCACAATGCACAAGAGCGCAACGTGCGTTCGCGCATGGTAGGCAACTTCCATTTCCTCTGAAACTACTGTAATCGGTACCAGGTAACGACTGTTGCCTTTTACAATCTTCCCGAGAATTTACGTTCGTCGATCTTCAGTAATAAAATAATTCAGACATAACAATACGGACTCTGTGATTCTCGCGATTTTACAACCTCGTAATTATATCGTACCCAGTATAGCGGCGTTACACATATACAAAAAGATGAAGATCGATCGAAATCGATTGTTCGACATTTCGATCATGGACCTATCGATAAACACGGATCTTGGTGGCGCTCGAGAACGAAACGCAGAATCTCTGGCCCGTTCTCCTCTCTCTGACCCATTTAACAGTAGGTCCTTTGTTGTTTACCGATCTGACCAACGGCCAGACAAACGGATCAATCGAACGACGAACTGAACTCGATTCGAATGCGAAACATATGTACGTTCTCGAAATCGTTTATCTAGGCAACAGTTTTACGACCTTTGTTATCTACGCCTGTGAGAAGCGTGTATGTGGCATAGGTGAAAAAATGGTTATACGCGTGAGATAGGAGGACTGAACTAATTAAGCGTACATACGTATGTGTATCTGAACGTAAAGACAAACGTGGCTGGCAGAAGGATGACTCCCCCTCCACATTTCCCCTCGGCCTCGTACGTATGTGTATCAATGCTCTTTCACCGTGACGTTAAAACGGACTAATCTCTTAATCGCACTTTCGCCATTCTTCCATTGACGTGGGTATATCGGACAAAGAGAGAAGAGCAAATGGCCTGACTCCTTGTGCCGGCGGCATTTAACCGTGACAGAAGACGAATCGAGTGTAGAAAAGGTAGACGACGACGGATGAAACGAATAAATAAGAAAATTCTACATCGCTTTTGTCTCTCTAATGAGATTCTTTGTTTCGCTATCGGTGAGATCGTATCTTTTAATGAAAATTTGAAGAAGGACGTTCGAGAAAAAAATACAATTGCCGGTTTTAAGGTAGGTCAGTACTCACCCAGCAGGATATGCGACCAGCTCGCTGGTTGTGTCACAGTCCAAAGCTGCATTGCTCGACACGGTTACACCCAGGACACGTTCCAGCTTAATCTGTAACGAAAGCCGAGAGATTTCGTCGGAATATGTTCTTTTCTTTACAATTCTAAAAGATACTTGGCGAAGACTGATTGAGTTTACGATCACAGAGATAACGCAAAGTTCCGATTGAACGAACTTTCGAAATTTATGGTAATAGCCGTATGGATTATTATTTTTAAACTGGAGTCAGTGCGAATTGACGATACGAGGCTAAGTGGATATTTCTTTGACGTCGCGTCCACACGGGACACCCGATGCCTGATAAAGCGTTCTGTGAGGTTCGAGAAAAATGATTTTCATGACTATCGGTTATTCTGTCCCAGTGGTAAAATGGGAACAAACACGTAAATCACGAAGTAATCTGGTAAGGCATCTTGTTAATCCAGTTTCTTGTTCTAAGCATCAGTCGTCTTTTTGCACCGCGTTGTACAGGTTGACGAGAAAACAGCCATGACCACTTAAGGCAGCGTGAAGAATAGCTGGTGTATTTATCACCGAAAAAAAATGTACAAGACCGATCTCTCCGCGTGCAGATTTACATAGAAACTGCATAGGACGTACCGTCGTCTTAAAAACGTCAAGTAACACGTTGATAATAACTCTTTCGTTCCTTTTACATTGTATCTCTTCCTTTGTATCCCGCACTACGCGGTACGTGGATGGTGAGTAAAATCGAGTTTTAAAATGTCGAGTGACCTGAAGTGAAATTCCCAATCAGCTCATTTTTGCAGATCGAATGAACTAGCATACACGGTGAACCGATTGGTATCGATCATCGATGGATCACCATGAATTCTCATTACCACAATCGATCTGCTAGCATTTCCCTAAAGTCACCAAGTACATATAGTAACTCCAAAAAATTCGACGATTCAATGAGTCTTTTCTCGTGGAACAAAAAAAGGACACTATACTCAACCGATACCGTTTCTATGTATTTCAACTACTCGATGGTTTAACGATCGATCAGGATATCCATCCAGGCCGAGAAATCTCTAGAATCGCTCGTAAAGTCTCCAACAGCTGAGAATGCGGCGTAGCACATTTTCTCTGGCAAGATCATCGAATGGCAATAAGCCACCGTTTTGCCAGTACCGTCACTGTGAAAAAACATTCATGGAAAAGTCATCGTCATCTTGACATCTCCGTGTCAGGAGGAAGATCAAAGTCTTGTGGGTGTTCCTCGAGATGGTGAAAAAAAAAAATAAAAAAAAATAAAAAAAAACCGTAGCTTTCTACGAGCCGCTCGAACGCGTCGTGTTCGTAGCGTTTTCCCCGCAGCCAATAGAGCAGCTGCATAGAAAGGATAACGAGTTCAGCAAACGCAGCTGCGAGCACTCGCTGCATGCGTTGGAGCCACGGGAGTAGCGTCGGTGCGTTAATCGCAAGTTCTTCCGCGCAGACAAACCTCCAGAGCTAGAACGCACCTCCAGTGCGCATGCGCAGTGCCGCGCAGTCAGGGTTCTACGTTCAACGATTATAAATTTACAGCGTTACGCGCAATGCAAGACAGGCTTCTGCATTCTGCGTCCGATACTGTAACGCAGAACCAAGGACACCCCGTAAGTGCGAACGCGGCGACAGGCTCGCTGGACGAAAAGAATAAATATGCAGCGTTGCGACTAGCGGCGATAGATGAGAAAGAGAAACGTCGATTAAATCAGCGAGAAGTGACGATCCGAGGATAGAAAGTTATTGGATGACGAGAAGCGTCGAGGAACCGGTCGATCGGATGAGACGAAACTATTATGTGGTGTATAGTAGGCTTCCTCGAGGAGGAAGATAAGGCTTGTTGCATCATGGATTCGTTAATTATTATAAGCATCCATGCTGAACTCGATACGACAGTGGGAATGCTGGGCAAAGATTTCTTGACGGAAATGACGCTGCAGCAGTGCCGATCGAGAAGCTGCGTGGGCAGTCGGTAACTTATCGAACATGTCAGGCTGATTGGTCAGGTTTGATTTGATACGTGGTCAAAGCGCACGTGGGCGGGTAGCTCTTATTAATAAATAATAATACATACGTGCAAGTGCGTCAGTAGCAGCGACTGGGATATAATAGACAGATAAATAGTCCATAATGGAAATGAACTGCCGAAAGAAATAGATTCTTCGCGCGTTGGAGTACTTGCGATCGTATATTTAAATTACATTGGCGAGTAGTGCAGTTTTTTTTTTTTTTTTTATCGAAATAATGGGAAAGGCAATGAGAAGGGCGTTTCCGGTAATAGTATACACGGTTGTCGAATACGACTCGAGTCTCTCATTCGAAAACTCTCTCCTTACGTAAAAAAAAAAAAGACGAACTTTATTCAGAAGTGGATGGCTGAGTGTCGAGAACCAGGCATCCCAAAAAAAAAAAAAGAGACTTGGTGGGTAAGCAAAAATAAATGCGAATCTTCGACAGAAGGAATCTCGTCCATGACATAACCGAGTCTTCCTCACGGAGTCTCAATCGATAGCATGAAAAATAAAAGTAAATCACTCGACCTTTTGGACAGGACAGAGTAATAAAGGCGTAATGAGAATTTCAAAATTATTTACAGCATTAAAATTACGTACAAAAGTAATGTTTTACACAAAAGTTTATCAATTCAGGATTTCCAGTATGGAAATTTGTATGAATCATCAAAATCTAAATATATAAAGTAGCTTCCGTAAGGACAAGGGAGGTCAAAAATGCCCGGTATTTTAGACAAGCCCACCTCATCCATCCATCGATCCATCCAATCAACCATAAGGCCATCCAACCGATCCATACACTACTAGCAGTATAACGTCAGATTCCATAGCGTCCCACTTGAACAGCAATCAAGCTACGCCGAAGGTATGAAGGTATAGGAACTCTTGTTGACCAGGTGCAGCTGAATGACAGCAGCAACAAGTATAACTAGCATAGGAATCCCACGAGCTCGCAATTCGTTTGCATCAAAGATGCATATGCAGTGTCGTTTGTGCAGAGCGCAACCACCTACTTACATCAGACGCTAACGTTAGTCAGGTTATAGAAGACATCGCAGCAGCCTCATTCCCTTTTAGCACGTATGGGCACACGTGCAGATATATACACATAGTATATGTATGCACGCGATCCTATAACATGGCATATAGCATATGGTGGGCACGCATGGCACACGTGTTTTGTAACGAGGTGCGCGCGAACTACGTCGACAAGTTGCGACACATTTCCGACGTCCCGTGTACAGGAGGTTAGCACCAGACAGAAATCCATGGCATGCGTGCCCACGTGTTCACATAGCTATGAGCGATTTACATGGGACGATCTCGAGGAGGCAGGACGGCAAGTCGTTGGAATTCGTAAAAACTTCGTATATCCGCGCCTGCGCACAAAAATTTTCATCCTTAAGAATTTCTTACGCAACACCCTACGGGATTGTTGTTAAATTTAGTTTCGATAGTGGAAAAAAAAAAACAACAATTTTCCCATTTCCAATAGTCCAGTAAACGAAGCGCGTCTCGATACCCAACAGTAATCCACATTGTTGTTGACTCCTTGCTCCTCGAGACCGCAGTCAATTAACAGTCAAATAATGCGATCGACTCGAAACCGGTTGGTCATTTTTAGCGATGATGCTCCACCCTGTCGTCCTTGTGTGTTTATGCGCGTATTCGCGGTCTTTTTATCGCGCGCGACTATATAGGCGAACGTTATGCACGTAGGACGCACGAGGTTCTACCTGTCGTTAAATGTTTCCGCGAACCATTATTCGAGGCGTTCATTCATTTCGCGTCATTGGTACAAGGGAACGTGAATCGTTAACGACCTACATGACTGAAGAGCGAAGAGTGAACATTTTATCCGAATCTCGAGATAAAAAATTATACAATACTGGTACAAAAATGATTACGTGTACGGTGGTACGAATTGCTTACGGTATAATGACGAAATTATCATTAACATCTGGATGACTGACTCCAGCCGGTTGTACATACCTTTATGTACCTTGTTTATATTATCGACTGCGATCGACAGATCGATCTAATTCACCGGTAAATTATATACCAGGGAAGTATATCTATAGCCACGTCTAGCTAGCGTATAGATCGTTCGTTAACATACGCGTAATGGCAGAGCATAAATGAGAGACGCAGTCGGGTCCGCAGTTCAATAAAGGAAAAGAATGCCACGCGTATGCATTCCACGTGCGTAGGCATATGCCAAAGATGGCGATCCATAAAAGACTCGGTGGGCAATTCTGTGGAAAGTTGGACGAAAAAAAAAGAAAAAAAAACAAATTTCTCGTTGGAATAATAGAAGGTAGAACGTACGTAGTACGAGACGGAATGAAACGACGATGGTAAGTCAAGCGAACATAGCCGTAAGCACGCTTGGTACACTCGTAACCGCCTTCACGACGTTCCGCTGATTTTTCTGGTAGAGCGTGCAAAAAGAACGTGGCATTCATCCTCGAGATTGCTTTAAGCGAACAAATGTGAACATTGCGAATGTTAAAATTTCTGTCGCTCCATTGCCGTATCGCGATGTACCGGATATCGTGTAAATCATCGTTACGTTTGCTCCAATTACCAAAAATTCTATTTCCGAGGCTCGTCGACTTGAACAACGATACGTCTGCCTGGTGTAAAACCGAGCGAAGAGATAGAGGTAATCGACTAACAGGTATAAACGATACAAGAGTAATGACGTAAGGCTTAGCTGGTAGAAGCAAGGTCTCTCCATATAATACCTGCTGCGTCTTACGTAATGGCGCAAGGATCGTCATTCTCAATGAGAAGAATGAAAGGATACAACGTTGTATGCATGCTTGTATATTAGCGTTGTACACGAGTTTCGATTTTCAATGGTCTTCGAGGATGCTGACGGATGCTTTATTAAAGATGAAAAGAAAGATTTATTTACAGTTAGCTGAAAGGTGGAAAATTAGGTAATTTTTTAGGAAAAAAATTGTGCGATAGGCGTTGTTACGTCACTCGCGACTAAAAGGAGTATTTGTAACAGCATCAAGGGATGGGTCTTGTCCAATTGAC